TGATCATTATGATCAATTCAGAGAGTTTAACCATCTTTTTGGCAACTCAAATGACATTTGAAAACCGGGCGTTAGTTGGTAAAGCGTACAGATACGTTACCGAGAAGCCGAAAGCTTTTGCCAATTTGTCTAAACAAACACATTTTAAGACGACTGTAGAATTAAGAAACTGTGTTCATTTTTAAACAAACCACTGAATTATCTCCTTGCAACTATTTTAGTTGGTCTACAGAAAACGAGGTGATGTAAAGCCAGTTATCCTCCCTTATTATGCTCGCGAAAAGATACATTTTCGTCGTAACTAAATGAAAATGTATTTTTTGTCAGAATGAAAGAATCATTCTCTCTAGTAGTTAAGAATTGTGTAAGCGCTCTTATTTAACCTATATGATAGTTCCCGTTGACCTAGAATCACGAAATTTGCAAAAATCAAGGTCAGTGCAAATAAAATAAAAAAATTCAAAAATAAAAAAGTCGAAAATTAAAGAGTGTCCCCATACATACATAGTTTACGCCAATTAAAATATTCCTCTGAGTTGTATGGGCGCTCATACAATTTGGTTAATACATCAACCATTATAGCACACTTAAAAATTAAACCAATAAAAATTGTAGTGATACCAATTTTATTATGGGTTATAATGGGTAGGTGCGGATCCCTCGGTGCGCGAGTTGGACTCACAATTGATAGTTTTTTTGTATCGTCAAAGCTGTCAGAGTTCAAATCTAGATGCCTACTCTTTTGCAGGTGAAAGAACCGATTTGGCAGGAGTGAAAGGAAACGGTAAGTGATAATAACATTTAACAATAAACATGACAAAATTAAACTATACCATTTGTTCATTTTAAACTTGCACGCGTGAATTTGTTTATGTAAAAAAGGTTGCTCAAACAAAACCCATTATCTTTTTCCGCAATGGAATACGAATATGATACATATTACTTAGACATTATTATAAATTAATTGGATAGTTCGTTCTTATTTTAAATATTTAAATCTTCGATAAAACGCATCTGCTTTTAATTAAACGAACGCCCCGATAGAATTTTAATAAACCCGCCGTGATCACTTTAGTGTTGCCACGCGTCAAACAAATCATTGGACAAAATGTCATATGTCACATACCTTATTTATCGAGTCGCCTACTTGACATTTCCATAGACAAAAACTGTTCCAAATCATTGAATTACCATATTTAATTGGGTGCCATCGGTTCGAAAGGGCAACATTTTACTGTCCGAAAATTGCCAGTTTCAATGTATTATTCATTCTTAATGATGCATTTTGATCTTCCGTGTTTTATTAAAGACGAGAAATGCCAAGCACATGGTACTGTGTCGAGGTCATAAAAAATATTTAATTCAGTATCCATCTGATAGCAAAGAAAAATCTCTAGAAACAGATCATTGTGTATATAATATACTATTGTAGATGTTGATATGATTCCCAGTTATTTTATAAAACCGTTATCAATTACATTTAACGTCTTTTTCAAAAATAAAGAGTAGTACTGGTACAGGGGTAATTTTTAGCTATTTTTCTTTTGTTACACTTATGTAGTATAACGTCTTCATACATAAAAGCACGCATACTTTTTTTAGATACAACGACAATATTTTGATATTCCTTATTTATTTAATAGTTCATGAGTGCATGCGAATTAAATAAAGGACTTCGCAATAGACTTTGGATCCGTTGTTTTAATGAGCCCAAAGCCAAATCCTTAGCCTTGTTGCCCCAATCCTTCGGTATAATCTTAAATTAATTAAAGCAATTTGTGTTTATCTTTGGATCCTCGTCTAAAACAATAATTATTAGAGATAAGTCAACAATTTCCGCACACAACTGTTCGAGAAGCGAAAACTCGCAAGTCGAAGACGAAATGGTGCAAGTATAAAATCAAAAGTATTCGCGAGCGCCAACCAATTGATTGAATATGACTATTATCAGTGAGGACTTCTGGATGAACTTTCATTTGAGCAGGAAAGTCATTCTTATTTTCAGTGTTAAATTACTGTTTACGCACCTGTGGTGCTGCTGATGGTTTAACAATCTCAGTTAGCTCACTCACCAGACGACGCGCTCGAGTGCAATACCTCCACTTCACGCCAGTTCTGTGAGGCTATAGTACTTCCCCATAGCAGCCTTGCTCCTTATAGTAGAATACAAGCTGCTATGCTGCCCTATCCCAGTAAAAATGACTGGACAACGTAGAAAAGTGGGCAGGGCCGAACCGTCCGAGATAAAAGAACAGAGCATGACATCGCACGTAGTATCGCCTACTGATCTCGGACCACAAAGAAGAACACCAAAAGAATATATCCAAGTGTTAAGATAACTGCATGAAATCTGGCACTTTGGTCTTCTAGTGACACACTAGCTCCAATTAATTTAGATTCTTGTCCAAATTAGCCTGAAAGATTTATAGGTAACTCCCCTTGTCATGTAAATGAATTTAATTTTAGTTAAACGCTAATGGAAGACCCTGAGTGCGGCTTACGCTATTTCGCCAGCGGCAAGTTACATAAACAGGCGCGACATTACGCCGTTCCATCATTTAACAACCCCGTGCGAGCGAGCCTAGTCGAGGGGTAATTAAGGATAGCTTTACCCAAGTTTTGACTTAAAATACATTTGCTTTGAAATCATTTTCGTTCGGCAGCCTTTCGAGCAAGTACGAAAGCCCTTTACAGATGTCGAGATTTTTTAACTGAAGGTCGCACGAGCATTCAATTTGCGTGGTAAGCGGTGACATACATTACGGGTGACATAAGTTCAATGCTTAATAACATTCACTCATCAGATCTGCCCATTGACACCAGCGATACCAACGGCTTATAAAACTCGTGACTGTGGTAGGGCCAAGCACCAGTATTCTCTATTGCACGAATGGGCAGGTCCGTCCGGGGCAGTACCTCACAGAAAACCGGCGTTAAGTGGAAGTGATACACTTCTGGGTTTCGTCTGATGAGTGTGGTAGCCGGGGCCCACTTTATTAAAAGGTGGCAACGCATCCGCAAACCCTTGTGTTGCAAATGTCAATGGGCGGCAGTTATCATTTAACGCCAGCTCAAAGTTTGTTGTAACGCAGTTTGCCACATTCGTACAAAAAAAAAACGTTCCAAATGCATGTCTTTCAATCACAACTCATGAGCGATACTAAAGTCACACAGGTCCCAATCTTTGATCAGAATATGTCGTTGGCCGTGAATGATTTCCGATTCTGTGACATGCTAAAGTATACGTTTAAAGTCAAATGCATCTGTGATTCATAACCATGTCCCGTTTTCAGAGAGAAGTTTATTTCATCTTAAGACAGAGACAGAACACAGAGACAAAATATACGACAAAAGACAAAATATACGTGCTAGCGGAGTTGGGTTCGTCTCACGGAGACGAAAAAATCAATTCGCCATACTTTGGACACTGTTCCGTAAACTGTTGCTTCCAAGAAAACATCATGTGTGTAAAAAGTATCAACAAGAATGAACTGTATAAACTATCTGCTAACGGAATCTAAAATAACGTTAATGAACTCGAAATTTTTATGCTAATATTTGTAAAAATCATAGACGTGTTCATTCGTAGCAGTGTAAAAAATAACATGACAAACGTTAAAATATAAATATGTACGTTACGGTAATCTTTTTGAAATTTTAATGCAGCCAAGAACAACAGAGACGTGTTTGTTTAAGAACATTTATTATACCAATTCACAAACGATATTTCAGGCCCATTTACCGTAATGGAGCGTTGACCTGACCGATTTGGCGGAGTCTTCGGACTTTGGTTACCGAGAATCGTCTTTAATTCATCTCGTTCGCGTAGTAACGTTTCTTTGGGAGAGGTTAGGTTTATTTTTCTCCGCTCATCACAAACGACTGTGTCACCTATATCATGTGGCGTGGTAGTCAAGCAATAGTTACTTCATCATAAAAATGTTAAGATCGCACCTGGCCCAGAGAATGAGAGCCATTTGGTCACATTTTAAGGCCTTTAATAAAGGACGTGTGCATGGCCATCGTATAAATTTATAAAATCATAAAAATAACGCCCGTTAAGGTAGGCCGAAATAAGAATAGGCAGAATAATTGTTGAACGTGACTTTTTTGATATATATAAATATCTTTTGTACATAAACATAACCATTTACTCTCTAATTCTTGCATCAATAAGTCACAAAAACTGGCAACACTGGCCTTGACAGAAGTGTGGAGGTGGCGGAATTTAGAATTATAACAGCAACTGACATTATTTAATAAAACACTCGGCCTCCAAATCACCAAATGCGGTCATACATAGCCAGACTTATAAGCTTCAAAAAACAGAACCACAGTCACTTAATCCTTACATTGGAGTCGAATCGGCGACCTCGCCAAACAAAACCTTCACCTAAATTCTGTTGCTTTAAACGCGAAAAAGCTGTGATAAAAGTAATCATTTTTAAAGCCTTCGTTTGCAGCACTATCAAAACAATATTTCAAGTGCGTTTGGTTGGTACGGACAGCTTAATAGACTTTTTATACGCGCACATGAATTATATGTGCAAACCGGTGCAAGGATTAAAACTAGATTCCTCTATAATTACTTACGCAGACATAAAAACTACAAAGTCTATACAACGATCACGAGGTCTTTGATTTTGCAAAAACTGATTGAATTGACGTTATTTTTCCTATGTGTCAAATGTAAATTTCATATAACTAGGTATATTAATATTAATACAGTAGTCTGCTCCTAACTCTTCATAAGTACGACTGTGCGGACTTAAATAGACACCATGGCAAGGTGCATATAATTAATCTGGGTGCAAACGTTTGAACTGTCCATTTTACAACAGTTTGAGGTGAAACTGGTAAAGTTGTGACGGGTTTTATTTACTTTCCGACCTCGGAACGACGTGCTGTCGTATTCAACGTCGAAGCTGGCAAACGGTCTATCCGACAATCATCCCTCTTCCGTTCAACGTCAGGGTTCTCACCTGGTCTATTGTCGTTCACGGGAAAAGGGTGGCGCGGTGGGGCGGGGGCTGCGCGCTCATACTCGCGCGGTCGACGACCTGGCGGCGCCGGCTAACTGTACCACAAACACTGACACTGCGATCGCGATTTTCTAACAAGCGCTCGCGACGGTGGCCCGGGACGTACTGAGGCGCGGAGCCGCGTGCGCCCGCGGCCTTGACCGCCCCCTCCGCCCCTGCAGACCCCCGCGTAGCCCCGCGCCCGCTTGCAATAGCGGGGTCCGATGCGCCGGCGCATCCGCTTTTGCCGCTGCGCCAAAAGCTCTGACTCTGACGAACTAAGAACTGATATATCACAAATTCGTAGTTCGTCAAACGGTATATTACGATATAAGAATCATTGCCGCTCTAAGAGACTTCAATTACTCTTAAAGTATTAACAAGCGTTAAATTAATTTATCTCAGGGAACTAAAATGAACCACGCGAAAATTTAATATATTATAATTATATTTGTTAAGTTCTAACTGAAATATCTCTATATCTGAATGCGGCAGAAGCTTTCACATTTTTATACTTAAAACAAAATGATTATAAGCTGTTGTCGGATTTAAGTCGCGTCTGTCCGGTCTTCTAGTTACAAAATAAGCAACTAGCCTTAGGAAAGACGACAGCTTAATAGGTAGAAATAAACTATTTTGAAAAGCATTAATGACGTCTGTGCCTTGGCGCTTAAACTTCGAGCTACGAATCCAATATCAGTCTTTCATTTTGGTTTTAAGTTAAAACTTTTAACTGCCTAAGCTTTTTCAGTTTTCCAAAACGACGTAGTTAAGAACCAGGAACCCAGGAACGTTGGAAGTAAAAAGTAAAAACGCGAAACACTCGGTAATTTTATTTTATTTTATTTAACGTCAGTTCTTTTTTTAAATAGCGCCCTGCATGCATTGTATTTACGCGTAAAGTAAAAAAAGTTCTTACAACAATAGGGCCTTCATTATTTGCATAAAGGAGAAAATTTGAAAGGAAATTGTGTTTTAAGCAGGGAGAGTTCACTGGCCACTCAACAAAGTTTCGTCACAATCGAACAAATACTTTAAGCACGCATAGAAAACACAAAGAAAATCTGATATAGTCACGAAAGTACAGAAAATCGTTATCGAACATAGACATATCTTATCATTGCAATTGTTTCGATTTTATTATATATTTTGACTGTAAGATAGTTTTATATTCAACTAATATTATTATAATTCAGACATTTAAGCATGTGCACTTAGCGAACGTATAATTTTTCACACCCTGTAAAATGTGCACAATGTCGCGTTGTAATTTACAGCCTAACCTACATTACGCAAATAAAATAATATTCCTATTACTATTAACAATCTAATGATACCGCTCATCGCATTCGAGTTGCGAGTCGCGAGCACGAACAACCGGTCTTACGAGCTGGGTCAGCCCTACGCGTTAGGCGTTAGACGCGGTTCAAATTTAAGACCGCATTGTGCTTTGTGACTCATGACTCACGAGATGACTTGGCCTTTCGCGGAAACAGTCCCCATCTTTGAACGCGAAATGTCGCGGCTATAAGCGAAAGCCGTAAACTTTGGTCCGCTCGGTAATAAACGCAGACGCACTCAATCCTTAGATACAGTCTGTTCTAAAGATAGAATAAGCTCAACCGCACAAAATCGTATATGACAAGTTCTTTTTATAACGAAAAACAAAACCGACTTGTAATCTCGCTCTGTGTTCATTTTCAACCGACTTTAAAAACGGAGGAGGTTCTCAATTCAAGTTTTTTTTTATGTTTGTTACCTCAGAACTTTCGATTTTGATGATTTTTTTATGTAATTGATTTTCAGGATTTATCTAAGTATCTCCGGAACCCAATATCCAATACGAATGAAATTTGGGAACACATGGGAAGCACCAGCTTTCAAATAAATAAAGAATCACCCAAAAAGAGTCGAAAGTTATGAGGTAACAAACATAAAAAAAATACAGTCGATTTGAGAACCTCCTCTTTTTGAATTCGGTTGAAAACAGTTGACGGTCGTAGCTAACCCAGAATAACGACGATATTAAGACGTCCGCCTCTGTGGTTCCGCAGAATATTCGATATGCGGCCCAATATAATATTCGCAGCGAGTCTATTTCAAATGTCGAAAGTTGCTATGCAGATTTATAAACTTTGTAACAGAACTCTAAAGAATCTTACAAAAATGAATGAATGATATCGCCTCCCTTACCTTTCGCTATTTTTTATGGCGATCTATCTTTATATATATAACTAGCGACCCGCCCCGGCTTCGCACGGATGCAATCTATTATACATATAAAACTTCCTCTTGAATCACTCTATCTAGTAAAAAAAACCGCAAGATCACCATCAAGATCCGTTGCGTAGTTTTAAAGATATAAGCATACATAGGGACAGACAGACAGAGGGACGACTTTGTTTTATGATATGTAGTGAAGTGTGTGAAGTGTACGTGTGTCACTGAACTCCTCCTAAACGGCAGGACCGATTTTAATGAAATTTTGTGTGTGTCTTCAGGTCAATTCGGGAATGGTTTAGATTCACATTTCGGTCCACATTTGTTTTATTTATAAGTCGTTTTCGGATTTCAATCGTGTTTACAGGACAACGTTTGTCGGCTCCGCTAGTATAATATATAATTTCAATGAAATCACAAAAAAATCATAACAATAGTTTTGCATTTGCTTTAAACTTTCAAAAGTTTTCACTTTTATATCGAAAAAGTCGGCGTAAACAAGGACGACGTATATAGTTTTAATTATATCGTTATCGTCAAGTTTCTAATCCGGCGGCTTAGACAGGGTTTTATTGATTCTCACAAAGCCAATTAAGCCCCAAATGTGACAGGTTAAGCCTGTCGTTCTATGACGGGCAAAACTAAAGTGACCAAAGCTTACTAATATTAAAATTTTTTACAGTGGTAGGGCCATGCAGCACTCTTCACTGTTGCACGAATGGGCAGGTCCGTCCGGCGGAGTACCACGAACAGGAGAAGAAAGTCTTACATTACTACGTTTCGTGTGCTAGAGTGAATAACGAGGCATTTTAAAAACAACGCATTTGCAACCCCACGGGTTTCAAATTTGTCCATGGGCGGTGGTTTTCACTTAACATCAGGTGAACCGCTAGCTCACATATAAAAAGTTCAGTGGAATCAAATGCAATTAGTATTGCTGTTCAAAACAGTGCAAAATAGCAAATTATAAAAGAATACTGTAGCTTAAATAATTATGTAAGTTACTTGTTTTTAACCATTCAAAAACTAGACGATTTTTCAAACTGACGCAGATTGCATACTATAATTTTCATGGTGGATTTTATAACATACTATTGGAAAAACAGATATTAACAAATTTTGAATTTTTGGATCGACCGAAAAGAAATATCATCATTTTAGTCCGTATAGTGGGCAAAAGCATTTCATTTCAGTTAACTGTCTGCTTACGAATGTTCAATTATACGCCATGTCCGTCTTGTCAAAAAACAATTGTCGGAAACGAATTAAACGGAGTGTAGGGCAGAAATTACATTTAACGCCTGAATGGCCAAAGAATTAAACGATTTTATCGCTCACTGTGGATCCTTCCTTTAGCTTAAATACAATTAACATAACATTTATGTTAAAGAAACTGAATATGGCGAAATTATAGTTTAACAACTAAAGAAAAAACTGTTTGCTTTAACATTAAGTCATCAAATCTGTTATCAACAAACTGTTGATAACAGTTTTCGTATATCAGTAATAAGGAAAAAGTAAAGTAACAGCGTATACATGTCCCACTGCTGGGCAAAGGCCTCCTCTATACATAGTCCACCACGCGGTCCCTTTGCGGATAGCGGACTTCACAAATCTTCGAAATATTTTTTGTTATTAATTCGAAAATATTCAGGATAAATTAATAAGGAAATCGATTAAAAGTTATCAGCCTATCAGGGCAAAGAGTCTGAACAGATAGAATTAGGCCATAGTCGACCCCGCGACCCCACTGCGGATTGCCGACCTTGTTAAATCGTCGAAAACTTTTTCGATTATTTCGAAAATATGCAGGTTTCCTCACAATGCTTTCAGCTTTCCTTTACCTCCAGCACTTGATAAATCTTGCACTTAAAATTGTAATAACAACAATATCATTAGTGATGGTTATGCTAAATTAAAAACGAACTCTTGTAAACGAAATCGCTATGGGTCGAGATTTTATTTATGTAGAGCCCACGCCAAAATCTATACAGATAAATAAAATTTGAGTGTCTGTCTGTTATATTAAAACAACCGCTTTTTACTAAATGCATATATGGATGTATACACGTTACATATACCAAAATAACATTTTTTACAATTTTTGTCTGTCTGTTTGTTCCGGCTAATCTCTGAAACGGTTGGACCAATTTGGACGGGACTTATACTGACAGATAGCTGATCTTATAAGGAGTAGTAACTAAGGCTGCTTATATTTTAGATTTTTTTATTTAAAATTCCACACCGACGAAGTTGCGGGCACAGCTAGTATTATATAAAAATAATCAAATGGAGGAAAGAAACAGACATGCCTTTGAATTTATTGTGCTTATCTGCTATGACAGTTGAAATGTTCTTTCTTATACACAATTTTGTTGCGTGTAAAATGAATACAGATAACCGAAGATAATAATCGTAAAGTGAATTAATTTAATACATATTCTCTACATGAATATAAAATACAAACCAGACGCCAACAAATAGCGGCAGGTGTCTTTTCTTCTTTTTATCATTTTCGCGTTTCGAGTGATTTAATCGGGGCCGGGGTTTGTCAACGTATCAGCAAGTTTTCGGGTGTTGTAGATTTGCATCGCAGTGGAGGAGAACATCATGTGGTCACGATCCTCAGCATTGAGGGACCGAGCAAGAAGAGAGGAAGGTATGTGTATCGCGTTTACACTAATAACACCTTTGAAGTTCTTTCACGCAAAAATGGCTAACATGCCAATGACGCACACCCCATTGGATAACGTCTGCTTATTAGGGTTCCGTATCCAAAATGTAAAACGGGCCCTATTACTGAGACTCTGATGTCTGTCTGTCTGTCCGTCACCAGGCTGTATCTCATGAACCGTTTAGACGGATGAAGTTTTCACCAATGATGTAATTCTGTTGCCACTATAACAACAAATACTATAAAATAGACTAAGAAAATATATTTATGTGGAGTTCCCATACAACAGACATGATTTTTTGCCTATTTTTAAGATACAACAATACGGTACGGAACAATTCGTGCGCGAGTCCGACTCGCACTTGGTCGGTTTTTAAAGATAATGGCGCTTGTCGAACAAATATAGAGTGACTCCAGTCCCGGTCTTTACTTAAAGTGCTAATAATCCATGTAAATCGCATTGTATCCGGGATTACTTGCCCAAAGTTATACTCGTACCTATTTTATAATAGATACTAAAGGTGGCAACGCATTTGACCCTACGGATTCCCACGGGTGTTGCAAATGTCCATGGGCGGCGGTTATCATTTAACATCAGGTGAACCACCAGCTCGTTTGCCACTTTTTCATCTTTTATACATGCCCCACTGCTGGGCAAAGGCCTCCTCTATACAGAGGGTATCAGGGCATAGTCCACCACGCAGCCCCACTGCGGATTGGCGGACTTCACATATCTTCGAAAAAAATTTTTTTTGTTATTATTTCGAAAATATGCAGGTTTCCTCACGATGTTTTCCTTCACCGCGGAGCACGTGATAAGTCAGCACTTGAAGTTAAAAACTTTATTGGTGCCGGTACCGGGGATCGAACTCAGGTTGCTGGAGTATATTGAATTAAAGGAGAGCGCCCGGACACTGAGCTATCACGGCTCACGACTCACGGCTTCACATAAAAAACAAAAAAGATAGAAACTGTCATTTCATTATTAAAAATCGCAGTAGCATTTCACTTGTATAACGTCTAATTAACACTTGTTTACCAAACGCTAAATTAATATGCAACGTTCGCGATTTGGCCCGACGCCATCTTTGCGCGTTTCAAAAGCGGGCGACAAATCAATTCGATAGATGTACGAGCACCGGACGGAAAACTGCCAGATGCAAAATTAGATTCGTTTCAAACGGGACATCGTAAGGGTTTGAAAAAAGAACAATATATATATTTTCGCTCTAATGACGATTTAGTGAATTTATATGGTGTTTTTTTACCTGGGTTTGGAAAAGAGTTTTAATGCTTCACAGAAGACGATTTATCAAACCGTTTACTTTTATCGAACGTTCCAAAGAGTGTTCCATGATTGAATGTATCAGATATAACACAATTACATTAATGTTATGACACGAACAAAAAACTAACAGAAAACACGAAGTAGTTCGTGTTTTCCGTTAGTCCCTTTATGTACATGTTTTTCATGCAAGTAAAAGAATTGATTTTTTTTTTCATTTAGCGCCGAGAATTCTTTTAAATTGTCAGGGACCAACTAAGTTCTTACAGTTGGCTTACAGAATCCTTTATTAATTATGTAGTAGTATATTTTATGGTTAATCCT